CCAAATAAAGACATAGAAGACAGAGAAAACATTAGCGTTAGCGTTATAAAATCAAAACCACCCTAATGCTAATTCTGTCATATTTTTTTTATGATCCCACACGTGATTGATGTGGCGCTCTAAAAATCGAAGATCTCGTCAATTTTATCGGGAGTATTTACCATCAACTAGAACATTGCTTTTCAAAAATAATAACAATGAATCACATCTCGAACAGTTTATTAATTATTGTCTTCAGCTTTGATACTATCATTTAATTCGAAAAAACTAGTTGAATTTTTATTCATTCAGGAACATCCGACTATAAAGTTTTTTACTGAATTATTAGTGGATATAGACCTACTACCATGCTTAGAGGCAGAACACTTGTAGTCAATGTTTTAGGATTCTTTATTTTGCGAACGGTTATTATTGGAGTTCTATTCTGCAATTGAATCTAATGTGATGGACGCTTTGGATATTTCAGATCACACTCTAAAAAAAATAATGATCTATCTATAATTAAACTAATAAATTCTCATATGGAATATGTAGGGGAGAATAGTAAAATTAATAAGTACGTCTATGTGAAAGTAAAAAACTAACCGAAAAATTCAACTAATCAACATTGCACATAAATCGCAAAACATAAAAATGGAGGGTATAACAGTCAAAACACACTAGCCTTATTGTCATTTCCTGTATTCCTTTGATAATGTTGGATATGGTTGTTTTATCTTCCGTCCATTCATCCGATAGGCCAGGTTTTGCTTTCCAATCTGGACTTGTTGAGTTTAAGAGCAATAAAGTTTAACGACTTGAGGTGTTTATATGCTTTCATAACTGGTGAGGTTTCGCTTTGTTAGTAGACCATATACTGTATGCCTATCTGTTTATAGGTGATTGTGATGGAAGTTTTCTTAACCTTCGCCAAGGAAATGAATAATCAATGATACATGCCTTTCATCGGCATATTATGACTTATATCTCAAGAGTTGTGTAGTATCACGTTAATAAAAAGCTCCTATCTCTGAAAAATTAACGTCCGAATGGTTTATGGAGTCTTCATGATTATGCGATATTGTGCTCACATATTCCCAACGACACCCCCCAGCATGTGTTTGAAGTCCTCTGCAAACCTTCCTAATACTGGACTCATCAATTCCAGTTATGCGTCGTGCTTCAGCTAAGGATGGAAATTCTCGAGCAAAACCACCCTCTAAAATTTGCTTGACAGCACGTTGACGCATCCAGCCATTCCGAAGCATGAGGCGCACTGCATGCTGTACATTTTCTTTTGGTGTACACCATTCAAGATTGGATGCTTTATTGTTAGTGGAATCATTATCAATATGATTTACATATTCTTTGCCTTCTTCTTTGGGGCAAAATGCTAACGCCACTAAACGATGAACAAGATGTCCGTTAACTTTGAGATATCCTAAGTTTAATGATCCCTGGGTGATAACACCACTGGCAAGCTGAACCATGCCTAAAGATGAAACTCGGAATTTTCGTGAATTAAGCTCTATCTCTTTCCATTCTTCATTGGGATCTTTTTCTATATAATCTTCATAATACATCCATAACCAGCCACCAGCAGTTTTTTGCTTTCCTCTGCAACATTGCGAAATATTTGTGCCTATAATTTTAAGTGTATTGCCTGCAAGACGAATAGAATCCCAAACCTGAACAACGTTCCCTTCCAATGTCTTTTGCACGATTTTTCTGTGCTTACGACCAGTATTTCGAAATACTATACGTTTGGCATTTTCTTTAGGAGTTACCCATTCCAAATTATCAACCCGATTATCATGTCTAATTCCGTTTATGTGGTTAACATAAGGCTTAATTTCTGGATTAGGAATAAAGGCTCGAGCGACTAAAATATGGATACTAATAATTTTTCGAATACCATTAATGTTAATATCTGTTTTTACATAACCACTCCGTTTGCAGATATTGCCTTTTAAAACCACACCTTTATTGTTCTTTATACGACCAAGATTAGATACTAATTTATCTGAATGTGCTACAGGTAACCAAATATCCATTATACTGTAATATCTGTTATTTATTTAAATTCTGTGACGAGTAGAATCGTTTAGTGCATTAACAATTGCCAAACTAACCGTTGATCAAATTAACTATGTAATATCTCAAATTCCTGATAAACCCCCAACAGAATCAATCGTATAAGTCACGTGGACGTGACCTCGAAGGTCACACTCACATGATTACTGCGCCATATATTAAATTTGATGCATTCCATGAAAAGGGTTTGAAATTTTTAGCGTTCTATATAAAAAAAATAAAATTTATTATATGTTTGTATCGGTATACAAAAAAATTTCTATAAATAATAATTCTGGCTTATGCATGTAGGTGAGGACGTAATTGCCACATATTACAGGTTTGTACGTATAATAAAAAAATTAGCCACGTATAATTATTTTTCTATTAATACAACAATGATAAAAAATTATAACAATACATATACAAATAAAAAAAGACAAAATCACTTCGAAAAGTGGCACATCTTTAGAGGCTGGAAGCACGGGTGTAAGGTTTGTGACGAATGCGATCATCATTCACACCTATATTGTAAAACACGTAAAAAAGTGGCGGAGGGAATATTTAAGCGATGTGAATGTGAAAATTCTCGACAAATAAAAAACAAAATTTATCTGTATCGCAAGGCTTATTGTTATGCATAATTTATTTAAGACGGAAATTGCTATTTTTCATTTTTCGACCGGGGCGCCCCGGCTGAAATTAGTACCTAACCAAAGTCGGTCAATTAACTCATGCCACATATCGATATGTTCTGAATTTATTTGGTGGGAGCCTAACTCCGGACCAAAACCTCTAGCCCAAATGCGTACAATGTATGCATGTACTACGGAGTATCAGGTCCCTTAACACGTTTTAAAGTCATTTTTTAGCGACTTTAACCTCTATAACACGTGATGCATACATTTACATAATTTATAGAAATTCTTTGTTGTGCTTCTATCGTAGAAATTTTCGATGTAAGAGTGCATGTTTTTGAACCTTTCTAACCTTTCGAGTTTCAGGAAAGAGATAAGGAAAATGTATAAAAGGGGCAGTATCCCGAAGTTATGATTTATTTGTCGCTTATTAGTGATTTATATTTCTTGCATTATTCAACTTCAATTAATTCTATTGTTCTCTTTGTATCTTTATAATCTACAACCATGTCTAACAACGTATACGCTAAACTTCGCAACTTCTTGTTAAATGCCGAAGAAGAAACGATTACCGCAGGATCTGTCATTTACCAAGTGGTAGGGGAGGACCCTTGGATTTCTAAAGATGAATTAAAAAGCATTATAGAATTTGCGGTAGATCTTGTAGGAGATCAAATTGACCAGGGTTCTAAACGATATGAGTCACTTCACAAGGTTCTTTCAGAGGTAGGCTAGTAAACTATAAGAAAAATATATAATTGATTTAGAATGATGAACATGCAGACAGTGATACGACTCTGAAGGAGCAAGCATAACAGTTTAACCATTCCATAGTCCGCCTACAGGATAATTTCCTCGATGCGTGAGGGATGTTTAAACTGTAGACATATGTTTAATCCTGTGTGGCTATTTTAGTATCACTCAAGGTTATATCTTCGTGGTGGAGTAGCTGACCCCATGGGAATAGAGCTTTGATTATATTCTGACTGCGCATGCGTTTTGTAATAATTTTTTATATTATAGTTGCAACCCCATTAACTTACTATGTCTGCATTAGTTCGAAATTTCATATAGGTCCGTTTGCAGTTTACTTGCTATTGGAGCCATAAAGACGAATAAAGAAAAACCTCTTACTCCTCAACAAATTATAAAAAACATAAATGAGTTGAAGGGGAAGCTTAAGAATTTTAAAAAGTCGCCACTTCATAAGCGTTTACTTTTAGAAGTAGAGAAAGTTTCTCTTACGACATTAAATTGGAAGAAACCATTGGCTAGTCAGGTTATTAGCGACAGCTCAAAGATGGTACAACAATTACCCCAAGACTTATATAATATTTTTATGGTAAGCATATCCCAACATTATATTATATCAAGTGCGGGCTAATTTTTCGATATATCGTATCCTACTGCTAGGAACCTAAATTTAAAATGCAACCGCCCCTGTTGCCAGTTGTTCAAGAAAGATGTAAAAGATTTGTGTCGAGCTTCATCGAGTATCAAGCTGAAGCTCCACCAGAAAAATTAATTCATGACATGTCTTGGAAA